GACTATTAGCCTGAGAGCCCCACCATATGTAACTGACACGTGAGAAGGGTTACATCTCAGGACATGACTAAAAATCCCGGTGAAGTAGCCACATTTCCTGGTCATGGCCGTCTGATATACAAATGATCCTTCATTCATTCAACAAATACTTACTAAGCATCTACTTGCCGGGCACTGTTCTAGGTCTAAGGATGTCAGAATGAATAAAACAATAATCCTTACTCATAGACAGAGCTAAATTCTAGTGGGAAGAAGCAGATAAACAAAATAACTAAATAAAGCACATATGATGTTAGATGGGCATAAGGGGAGAAGTAAAGCGGGGGTGCGGGGGAGGGAAGAAATTGTGAGAGGGATACCCGGCGCGACAAATAGTGACACATGATATATGAGTATGGCCTGAGGAAATGCAGCAGGGGTCACGCTGGTGTCTGGCGGCCTGTGTTCCCGGCCAAAGGATCAGCAAGTATGAAAGTCCTGAGCACGAGTGTTCAAAAGAGAGAAGAGAGGCCAGCTGGATGAGAGCAGGAGCTGCTGGTAGGGGGGTGGGGGGGGGTAGTGGGGGGGGTAAAGGTGGGGCAGCAGACCTCAGAGGGCCTGTGGGTCAGTGAAAGGACTCTGATTTTCCTTTTTTTGAAATGAGAGGCCCACTTATATAATCTGATTTAGGTTTCCACAGGATAATTTTGGCTGCCATCTTGAGAACAGACTAAAGGAGTGAGGGTGGAACCAGGGAAATGAATTAGGAGACAATACTCCAGGCAAGAGACTGCGGTGGTTCAGCCGAGAATGATGCCAGGGGAGGCGGTGAGGAGTGGCTGGCTGTGGGGTGTATCTTGGTGCTGACAGACGAGCTGCAGAGGGCAAGATGGCAGCAGCCACCGTGACGCCAGCGACAGACCTGAGCAAATGGGAAACGGGGATGCCTGTGACTCCTTTCTCCTCCTCAGGTGCCCTTCAAGGAGCGCTCCTGGTGAGAAAGTCTAGTGGTTAAAAAGGCAAAAGCAATGCCATTGATTTCCATGTGCTTTCATTAGAGTCTGTTTATGAGAAAGTATATGTTTGTGCTGAATATTTGCTGACAGGTGTAAGGGAGTGGGAGGGTTCAGATAACATTTGTCCGTTGGAGACACTCTCTCTACTATGCATACATAAGCAGGATTTCAGTCAGAGTTTTTTTAGCTTTCAAGGTTCATGGTATGAAACCATTTGAACTTCAAAACATATATCACATTAAACTTCTCCGGCTCCTGGGGCTTTTGGCATTAATTTAGAGTTCACTCCACTGTCCCAAGTAAACCTCAGACTGTACTTCCTTTTTGTTTTGTTTTTTTTTGTTTTTAGCTGAGCCATCCCGCCACCTGTTGGCAGCTCAGCTCAGGCTGGGCATTGAACCGCTGTTGCTCAGAGCTCGCACTTTGAGCGCGCTCTTTACCAACTGAGCCACTCAGCCGGCCCTGTACTTCCTTTTTAAATTGTGTTTCCTGCCAGTTAAATCAGGTCACCAGACAGTTTAACAAGGAAGCTAGCTAAGCTGCTTCACTAGGAAGCTAAGTGGATAATTCAACATTCAGCCGACATGGAAAGGTGGCTTATGTGAAGCTGAGAGGGGCCTCAGCACCTCTGAGCTTTTCAGCTGAGCGGAATGGGGGCCCATGAGTCTGCGGTTGCAAAGATGGGATACATATTCTATTTGAAGTAAACTGGGCTGGGTGAGTTAAGGTGACCATAGGACTACTCCTAAATGGAAGGACATTCCTAGGAATGTCACAGGACCCGCCGAATCTCCACCAGTGGCCGTGGAGAAAGTCCTTTCATTAAAAAAAATTAAAGGGTAGTTGGAGGCAAAGAGAAAGGAGCAATTTTATGACACATCATGCATAATGCCAATTTGACATTTTGGTTCAAGTTAAGGGAGCTCATAGGAAAATTTAAATTCTTTTGATAGTAATACAATCCATAGTGGAAGCTACAACCAGGATCCAACCCATGGTATTCGAGGATCCTCCCATCAGAAATGACCAAAGGGGCCTGAGGTATATCCCACTGCTTCGTTCAGCCCTCCAAGCAGAGAACAAACAACCTGAGTCTTGGGACAGAGGCTGACGGAAGGAAATAGCACCCAAGAACAAGATAGGAAAATCGCTTTGGGGAAATACATTCAAATTAGGGGTTTGGGTGCAGGCAGAGACGAGAGGCCGGCAATATTTTGGGCACAAACAGAGACGACGATCTACCTGAAGACCTATTTATTATACCACAGTTGCATGTCTAACCTGCGATGATTGGCGCCTTTATCTTCTATTGTTAGCACTGGGAGGAACTGGAAGGCAGTGTGGGCAGTTGGCGTTCAGAGGAGAAGCCATTCCGGTCCCCGAGGTCACTGTCTCTTCCTCCACACGCTGCGCTGGTGGGCACGCGTGCATTCTATACGAGATGTTTTGTTTTGTTTTTTACTTCAATGTTATTTTAAGGTTGTCGTCAGAAAGCCGTGACTTCCTCTTTCAATACCATACTTCAGAGTTCTACTTTCCCCCCACACATACAACTGAGGAATATTTACACCTTAGCTGAAAACAAATCTTTGATCTCTTTGTTGTTAGGATATCATTCTATCATATCAATAGGATATCAATGTTTTGAACATTCTAATTTCTGTTACGTTTCCATTCTGAAGATATTGAAACTAAGTAGGTGGGAGAAATACCAGAAAATCAGATTTTCTCTTCCATCCGGTGTTTACAGATGGCCAGTCACTGAAGTGTAGGCACTCACGGGCTACTTAAGACTTCCAAATATATTGATAATTATTTCTTTTTCCCATTAGTAGCCGGTGATGTTAGTCCCCTATAGGCACATTCAGGAGTCTGTCCTGGATTTCTGTAGCGTCTTGGATCCCTGTATTACCACCTCTTCAAGTCTCTGGTTTTAAAGACTTGACTAGAGCAGGCCCCCTGGGGAGCTCTGTCCATCCCATGAATGACCCGGCAAGGCGGCATTACTGGCATCTGAAAACCACCCCAGGGACTCTAGACCAGGGGTCGGCAAACTTTTGAGAAGGAAGAGCCATCAGGGGTCAGCAAACTGTGGCTCGCGAGCCACATGCAGCTCTTCGGATACGTACATGTGGCTCTGAAGTAAAATTGAAAATGAAAATAAAACTATCCTAATTTCACTTATAAAAATCTTAAAGGATATTTTTCACATAATGGTGATTATGTAAAAATATTTTTATGGCTCCCAAATAATTTTTAAATGTTGTGAGGGACAGGATTGGCTCTTCCAGGGGTCAGCAGACTTTTGAGATGGAACGAACTCAAAGAGCCGCATGTGGCTCGCGAGCCACAGTTTGCCGACCCCTATTCTAGACCAATGCTGTCTGTCTCCTATAGTTGACAGAAGGGACACATGACATTTACTATGGGAACAAGGGCTAAGTGGCTCTGTATCACACTGAATGTTGATGTTTCTCATCGTTTAGAAAACCCCCTATTGGCTTGTGGAGATGGGTGGAGACTCTTCTCTGAGCTGACCTCCGTGGCTGACTGACATGGCACTCAGAGCTAAAGCAGTGCCGTGCTGATGCCTGTGGGGGCAGGGGCTGCACTGAGTAACCTTTGTGTTACTTCCAGGTGCATAGTAGAAGGCCTGGAAATACTAGGTGTTCAATATGATTTTTGTTAAATGCATGAATGAAGGCAATGCATAAATAATGTGAAATGAAAATCAAGTCCTTAAATGGTGACTAAAATCAGACTTTTCCCCCCTCCCTGACTGAGTGAAAAGGTCTTATTAATTAGATCTAGATTATGATAAGGAGATTAATGAAAACAAGCTTTTGCTAGGATTCAACCATTGTTACAAAAGTGGTAATGATTAAAGAGAAGCAAGACCCATTATACTGACCCCCTTATTTTTCATATGTGAGCAAGAACGGACCGACCACCTTTTTGTGTTTGCCTAATGGAAAAAAAACAGAAACAAAACATTTGAATCACAGCTATTTTGTCAAATCCTGGTTAGCTATTCACTTTAAGAACTTGATTAAGAAAGAAAAGCTGTTGAAACTGTTCAGGGAATTTGAACACATTTTTAAGCATGGTGATGCTTTTGTTCTAGAAACACAGCCTTATGATACTTTCAAAGTTGACTCATTTCCCCTCAGCGCACACTTGCTACTTTCGCCAGGAGTTTATCTAAGGGCATCTCAGGCAAAGGGGCATGGGCGAGGAAACACGGGATGGCCCAAGGAGATGACGCAAGAGCTTTCCATAAATTACAGTTCTGCATATCAGACAGCCCAAGCATTTAGCGTCCACAGCAGAAGGTTTCCGGGACTCAAACTCTCCAAGAAATGAGGAACGTAACACATATAAAAGGGAGAAAAACACAAAAGAAACCGTGGTGAAGTGTTTCCTTCAGAGACACGGGATGGGGATTATGCCACACTTAGGAAATACAGACTCATGTTATCTTCACCAACATCAGATTTTGAGAGGAAATGGCCATCCATTCCATTACACTGGTGACACCAAATACATCTAAGTAGGTTTTGCTTGGTTTTACAATATTTGGTGCACTAAAGTAAGACAACAGGCTCTAAAGTACTTGGGAGCAGGACATACAAAGGCCAGGAGGTCACAGCCTTTTTCTGGGTTGTAAATAGGTTTTGTTCATTTTGTGCCAGGACAACAGGACTCAAATGAGGGTGGGCCCTGCCTGTGGAGAGTAAGGGGCTCCGATGAGGACAGATCCTGCTGTGCTGCTTATGCCCGAGACATGGCAGCATCGGAGCTGCGGCCTCAGAGACAAAGCCAGGCTGAGTCCCAGACCAGAGCTGCTCCCATACCAGGTTGAGGCAGCCTGTCTTGGCTTTACAACCAGCCCTGTGGGGATTTGATTTTACAGTGCTGGTCATGGTGCCAAGAATGGTCTGGAATAACAGTCAGTCAGCACAAACCCAAATGAATGAGACATACTGACGTTCTCCTTGTTTCTAGGAGAGGGAACGCTCCCAGTCTCTTCCCGGAAGACCAGCCCCGCCCACCATTGCTACATCGCCATGGGCCTACCAGCTGGCCTGGAGCTCCCCTACCCAACCAGCTGGGGGGCTAGAGAGAGCAAACAGGAGACTGAGCCCTTGGGAAGCGGCAGCACAGTCTCCTCTTGGCCGAGTGGATGCTGCCTTTAAACCCAGAAGCATCCAGGAATCCATCGCGGCAAATGTGGTCTCAGCAGCTCGGAGGAAGGTGCTTCCCAGGGCCTTGGAGGACTGGAGTGAGACACTGTCCTGTGCTCCCCAAGCCCCGCAGGTCTGCGTGGGCTCGTCTGGGCGAGAGCACAGTGCCGCACTCCTCGCCAACGACAGCATGCTCACCAACTCCCAGTATGGCTCAGGGCTGCCATATGCACACCATAGGCAGCCTTCCAGAAATGATTCTGAAGTCGCGTCTGATCACTGTCTTTCCGTAGCTGATTGCAACTATAACCCACACCCAAGGGGGTGGAGACGCCAAACATGAAAGTCAGAGCTGGTCGTGTACCACCCACAACAGTAACTTTTACATGTTCTTTTGCAGGGTTTTTGACTTATCTGGTAGATTTAGACTCATGTCAGTCTTAGCTTGTTCTCAGAATCACCTGAGTGTGTGTGCATGTGTACACATGTGCGTGTGAGTCATTTCCTTGTCTGCTGCTGCACGAAGAATTTCTTTGAAGAAAAAATGCATTTTCTGCATTAATGTGCTGGCACTTATACCTAATCCATAATCTCAATTCCATTTATTCCATGAACATGGAGTAATCTAGGCAACAAAACCAAGCTCAAGTAAACGAAATTAAGCCTTTTCTTCTATGCATCTTGTTTCCGGAAGGAGTTAATGAAATGCAGTGTATGAACTGCCAATAGCAGTGACAGTGAGGTGTGGCACACTGTAGATGCTGTCAGTGGGACCATGCCAGAGAACAATCATAAAAACGATGTCCTTGGTGTTACTTTAAGCATTTCTCAGAAACACTTAAAAATGTATTAAAATTCAGGTTTGGTTTTCAGAATTGAAATATAGGCATTCTAAGAAAGAAAAATCTGAGAGTAAGAGGATTATACATTTCAGAGGAGTTTTGAAGTAAATGGTGTAATGTGTGGGGAGTAGAAAGATTTAAGTATAGGATTTTTAAAATCAATTTAAAGCCAGCAGCCTGAGACAGGAATAGACTCAGGGTTCTGGTATCCTCATTGATTAGATGAGCAAATCAGGTTATCTAATCTCTTGTATCCTTAACAGCTCTGATACTCTGAGATACTCTCATTGATGCATTATTCATTTTTGTTGCTCATCATATAAATATCAGATTAAATTTAGGAGTGGATTAGGTCATTGATGTCACCTCATGTATCATTAAAGGTCTAAAGAAATTGTTGGGTGGCAGGTTTTGTGCTACGTGTTACATGGAGTGAGGGTTGATGTGAATAAAAAAACTTGATGGATTTAAGGAAGTGGTAGATGGATGTGTCTGTTATTATGCAACTGAAGGGCATGACCATTTATTTAGTTATAGAAAACATGCCACAGGAGCCTATGCAACAAGTGGTGTTTCTTTAGATAAAGTCATCACTAGGATGTTCAAAGGAAGTTAGACAGCTGCTTGGTCCATCCCATGACCCGTACTAGTCAGCATGACCATGAGACAGTCAGTCAAACACCATGCTCACTGCCATACCCGCAAAGTATCAAGCACAGGAAAATTCAATGTATGCTACATCATAAACAAGTATTAAGAATATTTTTAAATTAAAAAAAAAAACATTGAGTATTCAAAACTTTCTTAGGTTTTTAAAAGTGATTATTTTGTTTTACTTTTTAACGTTTGAACTTATTATGATGGTGTCTTTCACAGAATAAAAGTTTTAAAAAAATCTTCCAGGGTACAAGTGACCCCTTCCCTTGGAAGTAAAAGAAAACAAATTTGAAGAAATCACAAGTTCTATAACTGATGGACCCAACCGGATGCTAATTTGTTTAGTTAAGGAGAAAAGATGAACATTTTCCAAAGTTATAGTGTTAAATTATCTTGAATTGATATAGTGTTAATTCTCTCAAATTATAAGACATACTTATTGATCCCTAAGCGTTTCTAAGGAATCCTAAAAAGTAATGCCGGCCATATTGATTCATCTCTTAGCAACTCCTCGGGGACCCCCACACGAAACACTGACTCCTTTCAAACTTTACTTTAGTGGTTCAATTATTGTAGTTGGGAATGTTTTAAGAAATGGTTGGTTTAGCGGGAAAGACTTTGCCTGATGGCATCAGACCATATTCTGTCGCTTTCTTTTATAAATGCCGGCTGTTATTTCCACTACTCCTAGGATTTGATGTAGCCCGATTCCAGAAGCTGATATATGCTGTACTGTTATTCACTGAAACTTTCACTAGACTCAAAATACAGAAAGGCAGGCATTTTAAACTTAAATATTATTATTATAAAACAGCCATCTTCCTCTTTGCACTAGATCAAAATTGTCATCTGTATGAAGTTACCTGAATTTATTCTAGATACCAAGAGAAAGACAATCCATGGCAGGAAAGTTGTACATTTTATGCACAAAGAAATGAAGGTCTCATATGTTTATTAGAAATCAATGTTTCAAGAAGTCATGCTTTGCAGGTATAATTCTGAAAAGCAAAAGGGCCACTGTCAAATCATCACACAATGTACTGTGTGTGTTTATTTTATTCCCAGTTTACTTGAAAAGGCGTGAAGCTGGCACATTCAAGCTATTGTTTGAGGTAGGGCGCTGCCAGGCTGAGAGCTGGTACCTACCTGTGAGTGAGATGACAGACTTAGGTAACTGTCGGATAGACACAGCCATTTTTGGGAAGAGCTGTTGCTGGCAAACGCATGCCACACTTGTTGTTAAGACTTTTCTGCTAGTAGCAAGAGTTCCTGCCGTACCATGGATTAAAATTATTCTCTAAACTTACAGTGTACCAGCCATAGGGACACTAATTTGGCCCATTTCCTCCCTCTTGAGCTTAAATGCCTTATTATTGCATGTTGTGGAGTGCTCGTCATTACAATGATTTAAATTGCATCTCATATTTTGAGTTTTAAAAATGCACAGATTCTAGCCCATTTATCTCTGAATATGTCTCTTTTATGCTTTGACACCATAACTCACATTGGAAAGAGCCAACCTATTAGGGCTCAAGCACATAGATGTAGTAATGAATTGAAACTTTGGGTAAAAAAATGGTTGTATTAAGTAGGCTCAGTTACGATAATTAGAGAGGCATTATAGAAATGTTTGTTTTTAAGAGAAAGTAGACTTTCACATTTGGTTTCCAGTCAAAGTAGAAGTATCTACACTTTCCACACTTGTCCATTCGGGAAAGACTGTTTTCCTGCTAATTAGATTGACATTTCCACCTGTGCTTATCCCAAAAGACTGTATTTAAAAGGTGCATACTGAAATTCAAAATTATATTAGTAATAAAAAGTAACTTGAAAATCAACTGAAAGAGGCTTTTCATTTTTCCTTATGAAAAATTGTTTTGAATTAGTGTTCACCCCGAAGATTTAATCTTATCTACCACATATTTTTAAATTTCAGTTTCTACAATATCAGCTTCCAGACACATCAAAACAATTTCATGCTCACTGCAACATTTTAACTGTAACATTTAAAAACTTAAAACTTATCTGAAAATATGATCGGGCTGTTCCCAGAAGCCAGTAGCCACCCCCACCTCAGACCAGTAGTTGCGAATGCACCCTCTTGGCAGTTCCCGGTGTTTGGGGCTGACTTGGATCGGTGAGGAAAGAAATGGGGCTGAGTCAGCACCCGAGACCAGGTCTGGTGATGCTCTCACACATCACCACCCAGCTGTGCCAGGCTTTCATGATGCATTAAAAGCTTGGTCTTGCGGAGAATAACTGATTTTTCTGATTTTTTTAAAGCACTATAGGCTATACAAAAGGTAGACATAATTGTGAAAAGCTGCCCATGACAGTCACACCTGAAATCAAGACTACTGAGAAGAAAGAACTATCTGAATTGACACTCAAGTTCAAGGAGCACATCATTCAAGCCCCTAAACCAGTAGAAGCAATAACAAGACCAAGTCCAGATGAACCAATGACAAATGTGGAATGCAAAGTATCTGCCTCCCTAAAACAAGCACTTTATACACCATCATCTGGAGACGAATAAGAAGGAAGACCATGATGAAGTTAAGATTGTGGTCTCATGTCAAAGACGCACCAGGGTCCACAGAGTCTAGAGGAAGTCTGCGCACATCATTCTAGGGCACTTATGTCCCATGAGGGGATGAAATACGGGAGCTGTTGTGGAAGAAAAACTTCTGATTTTAATACATCCTTAGCCCAAGAGGGCTGTACAACAGAGAACCATAGGGACTGCAAAGGATGCTGGGAAAAAAGTCATCCATGTAGACATGACTGGCACAGACTGGGGGTGAAGTCACCATTTTAGTATATGCTAAAAATCCACTTCCAGAACCTAGTCAAGTAGCAGCAAATAGTGCATTGTTAAATGTGCACATTGTGTTAGAAGGAGAGAAGGAATTTCATCAAAATGTGAAATTATGGGGTGTGATTAATATAAAGCCAAGATATGTAACTATGACTACAACAATGCCTGAGTTCAGCATGAGAAATGCTGAACCTATGCAATAAGCCTTGAACTGCCTATAACCAAACACCAGGAAAAACAAAAAGAAGATAAAATAGAATGAGTCAGCTCTGCTAACCCCTGACCTTCAAGAGGTCAGCTTGTAGTTTTTCCTGTTGATCTACACATTGTTCATACAACTTTCTCCCAGGCCAGTGCATATGACAGAGAAGAAGAATATTTGTAAGAGGGAGGAGGTTACGTATCTTTCCACAACTTAGTATTATTATTTGGGTCTTTAATGCCAGTTAAATCCCTGTTTGTCCTTAAATTCAGATGGTGTCTCTCTGGTTTCTATAGTAACCACAACTCTGATTATTAGCAATACAAAATGCCTACCATTTATTGAAGTTGGTATTTGTTAGAGGGCTGGGAGGAGAAAAAAGAACCCTGATTTTGTGGTAAAATAGTCAAAGTCCAATGTTCAGCTAAGCGAAGCTGCATGTTCTGCATGAACTTGATAAAGAAAATCACCAAAGAAGGGGCGGAGGTTTGTGTCCGGCAGAGTTCTCCAGCGTGGTTGTCTGACTACCTATATTTCTAACCACAACTCGACGGGTCTTTTACAATATGTTTAAACAAGCAAAGTATCTGAATTTCTCATTTTCCATAAAAAGGAAGACAGAGAGAAAGAAATAAGAATTAACTGTTCAAGGTCTGAAATGCTATCAGGTAGGACAAAAATCAAAGGCATGAACTAATTGTATATTTTCCCTGAGGAAGCTGCAAAAGAATTTGTAACACATTTTTATTTCACTGTTACCTTACTATAAAATTCTTCTTACAACAAAGAACATTGAGAGAGGGCCATTCCAAGATCAAAAAAAAATTTTTTAAAAGGAGGGGCGGGGAGTGAATTTTAGCCATAAGTATAAAACAAATACTCTTACTATCATGAACACATTGATATTTATGGCATAGTTGGCCTCCTAAAATACTTTGTAATAAATCGGTCAACACTAGAATATTCCCAAGTGTGCCCGCTGTCCCCATCTCTGCTCGCCTCTTTCTCCCCCTCCTCCCGTCTCACCCTGATCCTCATCTCCCGCCACCGTCCCAAGCACACGCCACGGCTGGCTTCCTCGTTAGAATCCTTTCAACAGACCAGGGGACTGTGCTGAAAGAGCCCCCAGCACCCCACTTCCCTAATTTTTGGGAAGGTCATGATGGCTGAGTGAGCCCTAGGATGACCAGACTTTCCTCCAAGCCACCCAGACCTGTCACAGATGTCGTTATAATCTTTGGGACGTTTATTTTCTGGTTGACAGGAGTAACAGTCTTTTTTATTTCTTCTTCTTTAATTTGCATTTGGCAGATGAAGTGTGCCATTTTGGAAAACTGAAAAGACTAACTTCTTCTCCTGCAGCAGAATCGAAGAGGTGATGTCAGGGACTCTTAACATTAGAAGGAGTCCTAGAGACCATGCAGTGAAAGACAGGAGGGATTTAAAACACCAGAATGAGCACGGGTTCTCTTTCCCATCAATGTTGTGTTCCTTCTCGGAAGAACTGACTGTACAGAGATTTTTAAATCCGACGTCTGCTAGATCTCAGATGGCAGCATTTTCCTACCTTCCGTGCAATGCTGTTTTCAAACATTGACGTCACCACACTATCGATTCCATTTTAAGCTCTTAAGATGTGTGATGTGTATAGAACTCAGCTGATGTCACGTTGTTCCAGACACAGCCCATGTTAACTCCCCTCCTCCCTTCCTGGTTTGCAGACAGAGGTGATGTCACTGGCAATTGACAGGATGGTTTTATGTGGCACTATATCATTATCTCCATTCTGAAATCCTCCCAAAATGGAGAACCATGAAATGCAGGAGAACAGAGTAATGGAAGATGGATAATGATGTGTTCTTCTAAAAGTGAGGCAGAAAAAGCCAGAGTCGACTTCAATAGAAACTCATTCTATAATATTCTAACTAAAGCAGCTCTGTAATCTTGAAATTGCCTGTTATACCCACACAAATAGTGCAAGCTCAAGAATGAGGTGACAGAATTTCAACAGGATGCTATGTGGTCAGTTATGACAAACTGAAATCCCCAAAGGTTTATCATGGATTTTGCAAAAACAGAAAAAAAGTTGAAAAGAGTGTCACAAAGTCCAGGTGTTTCTGCCACATCTGACTGCATCACATATGTCACTTCAGATGAAGCTCCCTAAATGTGACACGGTGGAGATGTGCACTGGGGACTTAGCTGTTGCCTATTGGCATAGACTTAATAAAAATCTTATTCAAATAATCAAGGAAAAAACTTAAACAGAGATTTATTTGGCATCACTTACCTGACTTCTTGTCCTCTTTGGCTGCATCCATCCAATTGCTCATCGAGAGTGCACTTTTTAGTGCTAAGCACTCTGCTGGGTAGAAAGCTCATGATGGCGATGACAACCACTGTTTACAGACACTGCCACGGTACCAGGCCCTGAACTATGCGCTGCCACTCTACTGCTGCGTTTAATCGTCTTGGCATTTTGCAGGCAGTCCTGGTAGTATCCCCATTTCACCACTGAAGAAACGGAGGCATGGAGCGCACAAATACCCCACAGGGTCACACCACTGGAAAGAGGCGGCTCTCAGTTTTGAACCTGAGTCCATCCTACACACATATATCTATATGTTCATGATAAAAAAAAAAAAAGATGTAGATGACATAGCCTCTCCATGTTTGGGAGATTAGAAAGAGCTACAAGAAAAGAACATTCTAAGGCATATGTGGGGTCTCCGTGCTGAACGGCCTCGCAGAGATGATCTAGTCAAAGCTCTGACTTCACAGAAAGGAAACTTAGACCTGGTAAGGACACAAAGCCCAGGTGTCCAGGGCCATGCGAAGCCCTCTGCTTATTCTCGTGCGGCTCCCCAGGTCCAGGTCCTCGCCATCTGCTACCTCAACTGTTAAAACAGCATCCACTCTGTCTCTCTGCCTCTAGTTCACTCTTTTTACTCTACCATAATTATATTTCTGAAACTCAAGTATGTTGATGTTGAATGACTCAAACTCGCTGAAATGCTTTTCTCTTCCTTCTTCTTGGGGCCCTCGCTCTGCCTCATCTCTCTATCACGCGCCTATCGGTCTCCAGCTCTACTCCCCACCACTAATGATCCATTTATTGACCATTTGTCCATTATTGATGGTCAGCAATGCATTTCCACAATCACTGTCCATGTTCCCTTCCTCATGTTTCCGCAGGCTCTTCCCTCGGTCCAAACGCCCTCTCCTTTCCTTGCCTGTGACCCTGTTCATTCTTCAAGCAGCAGCTGAAATACCTCATTAAACCTTTCATTCTCCTGGCTGGCAGTCATCCCCCCTCTGCATTTCCATAGCACTTCATGTGCACTCAGTATGACAGGCAATGACTCACTCATCTTTTATTCTAACAGTAAATGAATTACATGGATGACCCATAGTAGGTCTTCAGTGCATGACTGTTGAATGAATGAATAAACTGAGAGTATCATGGTTTCTTGATGTCCACATCAGTTTTTGCCACCTCAGCTTCCACTGAGACTTTTAGTTCTTCCAACAAATATTTATTGTATTCCTACTTTGTGCCAGGTCCTGTGTGAGGAAGAAGGGTGATGGTGGTGAAGAGGCAGACAAGGTCCCTGCCTCATGGAGCTATGGCAAGCAAGAAATGCAGATAATAAGAAATAACCAACAGATACTAACTTTAAGGAAAGCAATCGACAGCGGGTGAAAGAACGAGTGACCGAGGAAGGTCACCTTAGAAAGGGGTCAGAAAAACTTCCCCCATCACTTGGTATTTTAACTACAACTTCAAGGATAAGATA